AACTTTTAATAGGGCAAGTAACATGACTAACTTTTAAGACAAATTTGTATTTCGCTTCTTTTACACTTTAATATATTTTTATTTCTAAATTATATGATTTTTTTATTAATACTTGTTATTCCATACAATCCAGGTTCTTGGTTTTTCTTTTACTAGGCTTGATAAAGAAACTTTCATACAAATTATTGATAAACATTTGGTTGTCTCATAAAAAAGTATATTTGCATCGAATATTGCGATAGTTGGTATAGATTTTCAGACAGACTGTCATTTCATTAAATCGCCTTAATTGCATTATATTAATAAGAAAAGTTCGATAGGATTTATCTCAGAAAATAAAAATATTATACTGATAGTGTGTATTTAAATAATATTTAATTATCAAGAAAAGTTCGTGTCGATTGTCTTCCATTTAAGACAGGAGACATTCAAATTCAAATAGAAAAGTACATTAACGAGCAATATTTATCAAGATTCAATTACAATGCGTAATGTAATACGAAAAAAGAAACGGCAAGAATATTCTGGTCAATCCGACGTTTTATAGGGCAAGGTTATAGTTCTGTTTTCTTATTTTCAATTGCTTTTTTTCAGAATCGGATTTAGAAAGAATCTTTCTCGAGGTTATTTCATTCATACACGAAAAACGGGCTCAGGAGTTCTCATTAAAATGAATCAACCTGTATCTGAGTATTTCTATGAACGATATATCCATCATTCTTTCTTTTTCCTTATTTTTGTTTGTTAAAAATTCGTCGTTTCCGAGAAGAATATATTGAAAAAACGTATCGGAAGTGAAACGAAAGCTGACCTTCGCGTCTCCCCGAACGTTGTCTCCAATTTATTTTTTGTTTCCATCAAATTCGTCTCTCCTTCTCTTTTTCATTCTGGCTGTCGTCTCCGGAGGACAAGGGACATATATATCCTTGACCGTTCCTATCATCTCTTTCCACCTCATTATTATTCTTCGCAACCACGCTCGAGGCGCCATCGCTAACTGTTTTTGCATCCGGAACGCAACTCGGTCGTTCTTGATCGAAAAATAAAACCCATCCTTTTCTCGATCGTGAAACGAAGATTATCCGTAGCCTAGGGATTTCTTTTTTTCTTTTTCTCTCTTTCTTTTTACTTATTTTTTTTTTTTTAATTATTTTCTTCAAATTCAAAATTCATCTCTTGGTCCTTCGTCCTCGAAGGACAGTCAATTTGTTTTTTTTATCCTTTTTTCTTTTAAGTAAAAAAATGACGCAGCATTATACCGACCTATTTTTTTCTATTCCCACGTACTTTTTCCTGTTGTCTCTTCCCAACCTTCAGATATCTCAAGTTGTGTATTTATAACGATGAAAATAGAACGAATCGGTATTGTATAAAGAGAGATGATGATGATGATGATGATGAGGATGATGACGACGACGACGACGACGATGCGGGCGCGTTCACATCAGTTTCAGACAAAGGAATACAATTTCTAGGTTTCTCAACAAAACGAGGAAGTCGGAGAGAAGTGGCCATCTTCCCAGTTGACTCCCGAGCTCAACGTTTCCGATGCATCCGCTTCTCTATTTCTCTCGAGTGCTTTCAAGTTCGTGACGCGTTTGCAGTTAAATGAATTTACCTGCCTCGAGTGGAATATAATGGAAAAGGGCAAGCAAGGACAAGGTAGGGAAGGACGACGACTCGGTTATTGTCATTTATACATATTCTTCTATTTCGTATCGCTACCATTACTCGTAACTCAAGCGTAAACTAATTGTTTCTTAAGCGTCCGCAATGAAATATTTTTCGGAATAGAAAGTTCTCTGACGAGAACTTCAAAAGAAGAGAAAATTTACCTTTTCGTAGGACGTATGAACGTACATAAATACATCCATCGTCGTTGACTTGAAAAAGGGTTAGAAAGGTACAAGAAAATAATGGAAGGAAGGAACTGTAAGATATTTTCTCAACTCTTCGCAACATTCTTGGTAAGCTTTGAATTTAGTTGCGCTCAAGAGAATCCGGCTTTCCTATTGGTGCGTATTTGTAGTATGGGAAAACTATAGAATCCTTTCCGAGTTTATTACGGATATATTTCGTCCTTAGTTGTGCTAGGAATATTTAAGATGTGATGTTGCGAAGGATCTTTTTTTTTTAAGATAAGTATATGGAAAAATGAGAAGTAGGGATATTATTACACGACCAGTTGAAGATAATTAATAGAAACTCCTTATAATTAATCAGACTTGAAATAAAGACTCTTATAGAAGGAAGGATGGAAGGGGAGGATAAGAAATAAACGGAAACATTATGTTTTGCCTGTTGTATAATTTGCTTCTAAGATACGCGCGAGAGAGAGAACAAATAATTCTCTCTTTCTCTTTCATCTATGTTTTTCCTCATTCACCTGTTTTCTCGTTAACCACAAGAGAGAGAGAGAGAGAGAGAGAGAGAGAGAGATAAAGATAGATAGTTTGGAAAAACTCCTCACGGTTAGGAAGGTTCCATTGGAAAAGTTTCTACTGCAAATAAACCATCCCCTAACCCTTTCCTTCTTCGTTGCAACAGTGATAAACTCTTCTTCTCCATCGTTGATGCGATACAGTTTCTTCTCGGTTGAAGAATCGAAAGATAGGAAGTCGCAGAATTTCATCGGTCAACTAAGTCGATCGTGAAGGGGATCAAATTTAAATAAGAGACGATGAGATGTTGGACGTATGCGAGCGGATCTCTCATTTTCTTTCTCGTTGCTGGTAATGCTGTTGTGTTTCTCAAACGAAAGAGAGGAAGACATAAGAGGTAGAGAAGAAAGCTTGGCAAAAACGTTAGCCATCTTGCTCGTTCGTGCTGTATCGTCCTTGCGGATCAGTGCTTTTCAAGAACGGTTGTCATTTTCTCTTTCTCTCTCTCTCTCTCTTTTTCTCTCTCTCTCTCTCTTTTTTTTTCTCTTTTTCTCTTCGTTTTACTTCGCTTCATGGTTACACGGTTGGTGATATATCTACCTCAACAGTAGACACCTACCATCCCTTTCGTTGACTCGACCATTCCTCGAATCACCATTCCACTTGGTTCTTCTTCTTTCCTGAAAACGTATTTTGCTCGAGTTGCCTTTTATCGGCTCGTACTCGTACCAACTCGCTCGTGAATTTACTCCTTAGCGAGCGTTAAAAAAGAAATATACTAAAGAATTGATTGTATTTATGGTATATGATGTGAAAACTTTTGCAGCCAATTTATTAAGACAATTTATACTAATTAGAGATTGTATCAATAAATGTATCTTTTTTTTTTCTTTATATATTTCTTTTTCTAGAATAAAAATTGCTAGGTAATATTGTTAGTTTAAAAATATATGAAATTGGATAATAGAAAGTATAGGTAACAGAAAATTTATTAACCTCGATGTAAAATAGAGAGAGAAAAAGAAAGAAAGAAAGAAAAAAAAAATATATATATATGTATATTTAACATGTCAACTGTAGACTATCATGGTCAACGATGACCGGTGCTAGTAAATTTGAAAAATTAATTCCCATATAAATCATATGTCACAGAATAAAAAATCTTGAATAACGCAAATAACTAAAACTGATAATAGTTATTAATAATTTTTCCTTTTCTTCTGAAAATAAAATAATGAAATTGTGAATACACAATTATTTTATTTATACGCGTGTGGCATTTATAATATTTATCATCTGGACATGTAAATCATTATTTCGAATATAAATGATCGGTCGAGATTGGATTTTTCGTTGATTCAAAAGTTAACAAATGTGATGTTATATGTAAAAAACAAACAATTTAATTTTGCGGTAAAGTCCAAAAATGGAACTGACAATCACCGTTTGGAGAATTAGTATTTTACACAATTTTTTGACATACAAATTTCGACGATTTTAACTAACCAATGAGTTGTTAGAAGAAATAAATTAATTAAACGTGAACTTTATAATAGTAATTATCAATTGTAAATGTTGTATAACTAATTTAAATGTAATTGTATTACGTGTCGCTTTATCTCATTTATTCGCTTTAGAATATTATTTGCTCGAAATTCAAACTTTCTTCTTGTTAGAATATGTATCTTATTAATACTATTACTATTAATATTGATATTTTGTACTTGTGATCATTGATCAAATCATAAGACGTTAATCGAGACAGACTGAACAGCATTTATGTCGACAAAACAAATCGTGCTTCGATACCCTATTCAATCCCTTCCAACCTGCTAAAGCAATTGCTTTTTCTGAGTTAATTACATGTTTTTACATTTTTTATCATAGTGCAATTTTTATTTTTATTTTTAAATATAATAAGGAAAATTCTTAATTCGAACAATGCAACAAATGCGAATAACCGTTCGTTAATAAAGAAAAATAAAAATAAAAGACCTCGCGGAAAAATGGGGGGAGGGGGAAAAGAAAAAAAATAGGAGTAAAAAGAAGGCGTTAATTGATGTCGTTATTGAAAAAGGAGGATTTTAGGGCGACAGGGATTGTCGAAAGGAGCGCTCTCGCGGTGGGTTTTCTCGATATAGGGTTGGTGTTGTCTGAAGAGTCGAGAGAGGGTGTGCAAGTTGGCGTTTGCGCGTTTGCCGATTGTGACGGCGTCGGCGTCGCGGCGTCGGCGTCGGCGTCGGCGTCGGGGTTGGCGTCGTCGCGCGCCGGGGGCGTCGCACCATCCTCGTCGGCCACCGGACCGACCGTCCCGTCCCTTCCCGTCCCGTCCCGTCTCGTCCCGTCTCGACCGACCGAGACGAGAGGAGTCTCGCGTTTGGCCAGTATCAAGCCGGGAGCCGTCGTCGTTGTCGTCCTAGTCAAAGTCTTAGTCAAAGTCTTAGTCGAAGTCTAGTCGAAGCCTAGTCGAAGTCTAGTCGAAGTCTAGTCGAAGTCTAATCGAAGCGTAGTCGTCGTTACCGTTCTCTCCGTTGTCCTAGTTCAAACTACAAAGAAAGAGAACGAGTGGGAAAAGGCGTGAGAGAGAGAGAGAGAGAGAGAGAGAGAGAGAGAGAGAGAGGGAGAGAGAGAGAGCCAGAGAGAGACAGGCAGAGACAGAGAAAGATAGGTTGTTACAATTCTCTCTTCCTTCTTTATCAAAGTGTTTCTCGAATTCCAGTGTTTGTTTGTTAGTGTGGGTGCGCGTACAGTGGTGCGTAAGCACCAACGAAAAGGTGAGAAAGGTGGAGGAAAGGATCGAGGACAAAATTTGTTCTTTCCTCCTCGTTGACGTTGAGACGTTGTCGTCTTCGTCTTCGTCTACTTCCCTGTTCTCGTCCTTCGTTCCCGTCGTCGTTGACGAAGTCGTCATCGTTGCTCGTCATAGTTGTCGTCACGGTCGCGTCGTGGTTTTCGTGTTCGTCGACGTGTGCAAAGGAATAAAGGAGAAAAAATGGGGCGTACGCGGGGCCAGGAAAGACGGATCGATCGCGAAATAAACGTACGTCGGAACGACGGCGTGCACTACTGAGAGAAGGAGACTTTTATAACGGCACGAACGACCAACGTATACATATACACACACGCACACACATACACACCCACGCGCGCACGCATACACATGCTCATCCAGGCATACCATACTTGGACTCTGATATTAATCTCTGATCCGAGCTTGAACCTATCTCGCGATTAGCTTTTTCCTTCGAGTTCGCGTTCGAGGTTATCTCTTTCTTTTTCTCATCGTCGTTAACTAGGTCGAGCCGCGTTCGTTCGTTCATTCGTTCGTTCGTTCGTTTGTACGTTTGCATATTTCGATGTGTACATACTTACGTATATAAATTGCACGCATATTTCGAGATTTTCGCTGACGTTAAGTCAAAGTGATTCTGGTTAATTTGAATTTTCTAATTTGTCCTATCTATTGTGTTAATTGATTTTTTGGATAATAGATTAGTGCGGTATAATAAAGAGGAAGATAATTTTATTTTAACGATTTTTCCTTTTTCCCTAACGTTAAAAATAAATAAAGGTAAAAGAAAAAGCAGCTCGAAATGATGAGATCGTTCGCGATCAGATGACCGTCGCTAAGGTTTCAAGGAGTGCGAGGAAGTACGTGTATGTGTAAGAGATCGAAGGGAAGAGGGATATAGGCAGATAAACTGATTGATAGATAGATAGATAGATAGATAAATAGATAGGGTCAAAGAGAAGGGAGATAGATAAAAATAGAAAATAAGTAAGAAAGAAAGAAATAAAAGACGGTGTTCGATCGAGTCGAGGGAGAGACTCGTCTCCCTGAGAATCTCGGTGTGCTTCTTCTTCTTTTATCGTCGCGATCGGGAGTGCGCCTTGTCGATAGGACCATAAAGTAAGGGGCTGCTCGTGGAAAGAGAATTCAAGAGGAAGCGGAAGAAAAAGAAGAAGAAGAAGAAGTTGGGAAAAGCAGGGAAAGAGAGACAACTCTTATACAGTGCTCTCGAGAAGACAACGACGTTCAGTAAAAGATAGAAAGAGAAAGACGAGATACAGAGGTGAAAGTGTGTCAGCGACATGGAACTAACTGTCTCGAGGTGTTGTGAGAGATAAGTTATTTCCATAAAAAAAGAGAGATAGAGAGAGAGAGAGAGAGAGAGAAAAAAATTGAAAGAGACTTTGAGTGCATCTATACAGTAATTAAATATAATCTAATTTAATCGATGAAACGAAGGTATATACGATTTTTCATAAATTTAAAACGAATAATTGAAAATACTCGGAGGTCATTCGTCTTTCATTGAAATATATAAAACATATCGTAAATTTAAAAAAAAAAAAAAAAAAAAAAAAAAATACTAGGAAAGAAGATTATTGGTAAGAAAAGCACGTTGTTCTCTCTCCCTGGCGTCATATCCGTATTTTCCCTCGCTTTTTCTCCCCCAAAGCCTCAGCTCTCCGCATTCGCCTTCTCTATTTGACTGACGCCCACGCACGCATACCGAAGAGAAAAGAGAGAGAGGGAGAGATCGTGGGCGCTTGCGTGATCACGTGTGACTGCAGCCAATGCGCGGCGCATTTGCTTGCAACAAAGAAGAGTTACGGGGAAAAGCCGGTGGAGGAGTAAACAACCAGAGGAACTGACGTAATTTAGTCTTCGATGTACATAATTAATACTTTGGTGGTCGAGAATAAAAGTATTTAATGTGGATATCCAAATAGAGTTAGAAAGTTCAAAAGGAGAGGGGAGATCGATCAAAGTATCTCGTAATAAAGTTCATTTTGAATAGAATAAAATACTAGAGAAAATGCGAATAATGTTTTTGACGCATTGGATCATTGGGGCTAACGCGATGGCGTTTATGACATTAATATTAATGACCCTTCTTATGTTCGGACAAGCGGCATTGTCCTTCGTATTGGATGGCTCCTCAACGAGTTACGCACAGTTCCGAAAGTGGAACGCAGCATTGAACGGTAGCCTTGAATTCGAATTCAAGACCGAACAGGGTAACGGTTTGTTACTTTACACCGATGACGGTGGTACATACGATTTCTTCGAAGTTAAGCTTGTCGAAAGCGCGTTACGACTCAGATATAACCTCGGTGGAGGCGCGCAAATCGTCACCGTGGGCCACGACCTCGGTGACGGTCACTGGCACAAGGTACAGATAAGCAGATCTAACGAGAATACCACGCTTACGGTTGACGGTGTCAGCGCAATTTCAACTTCCCGCGGAAAGGAGTTTGAATTTGGAAAGTTATCCAGTAACTCGGATGTTTACGTCGGTGGTATGCCCGGTTGGTACAACAGCAAGCTTACCCTCTTAGCACTGCCTAGTGTCATCTTTGAACCAAGATTCAATGGATTCATCAGAAATCTTGTCTATGCTGATCCTGAGAGTTTTCTACCTAGGAGGCAGGAAATGAAGAGTCGCGATACCAAGGTAAATTAACCAATATATTTATGTATATGTTACCGTTAAAGACCGAAATTGAATAATGTTAAGATTCGCATGATCGCTTGCCAACACATGCCAAATATGTCGGTGAAAGACCAAATATTTGGCTTTATTCTTATACATTAATATTTCGGGCATACACCATGCGACCATGTGAGTGCCAAGATAAATTAACAAATATATGCGAATGTGAGAATAGGCTAAAAGATATTCATTTCGAATTATGCAGTTTTCGTATTACTATTTACTATTTTGAAGAAGCTATTTTTTCCTAATTGAATTATTTTTGGATATAGTATGTTCATAGACATTCTAAAAAACATACTCTCGGGTGTTAACGATCCTTTACTAACTGATTAGTAAATTGTGGCTACATAATTGAAAAGCCACGACAAGTTTCCATTATAAATTTGAATGTAATTTTTCAAATACATGTTTGTCCCTTGTGTTTGCACTTTTTTAATATACTTCTTCCACACATTTTCGCCCACGCATTAAAATTCATCGTGATCATGATACGTACTTACTTTTATCTTGCGTAGTTACTATGGACAAGTAACGTCTGTGACAGTGCGTGCGCGCGCGTACTTTTTCCCCTCGTGCGATTTACGACTCTCTCTCTCTCTCTCTCTCTCTCTCTCTCTTTCTCTTTCTCTTTTTCTTTTTTTTTCTCTCTCTCTCTCTTTTCCTCTTTATCCTCCCTCGACGAGAAACGTTTTTCCTACGTATCGTCACGCTTCGCAACCTTGACATACTTTTTAACTTTTCCGCAAAGCACGTTCTCACCCTAAGCGGACGACCATTTACCGTTTTGTTCTGTGATAATGCACCCTTGCCTTTCTTCTAATGCTTGAAAAAATGCATTGCTTTTGTTTTAACTATACAATATAGATCTACTATTATATTTTACATACACATAAATACACATATACATACGTAAAACTATGTAAGACGAACAGAGGAAAATATTTCGTAAAATAGGCTTTTACTCGGCATACACTATAAATTGAAATCTGTATTTAGAATGATGGTATTTAGTTAAGACCTATAACAACAGCTATATACCGGGTAAGACATTTTAAACAAACCATCTAAATAACTCGATTGCTACTGGCGATAGAACAAAATATATAGGACAAAACTAAATTGGTTTCGAGCCTAGCATAATTCTATGTAATATTTTTTTTCTATCTGGACACGTAAAAAACACGCAGGTTATTTCTGTTTTTTTTTTTAAATGGATTGATATATTTTTCTATGAATTATCCACAATGTGCTGTGATCGGGTTTTTATTATTTTTCTTTTTTTTGTATATAAAATATAAAATGTAACGGGTGACATAGTAAATACATTACCCTCATATAAAATGGGATTATGCTAGTCTTGAAACCAAGTAAGTAGCGTCTGACACATTTTTTTTATTAGCAATAATAATCGAGTTATTTGAGTGGCCTGTTAAAATTGTCTCATCCAGTATAAATACACATGTTCATGTACGTGTCTGTATATGTATATTTGTAGACTTTTCTGTCCGTTCCAGTTTTGAGAAGGAAAACGATTGCTTTCACGATGACAAATCTTCTTCTATCTTGCTCGCACTCCCGCAAACGTTGTCCGCGCGCATAAGCTGCAGATTCAACGGCTATGATAACGTCGCGAGCGAATTAGTTAGATCTAGTTGGGAGGCTAACGTTTCTCTAACGATGCCTAGGATGCTCCCTGACGGATATTCACAATTTGTCTCCTTAATCTAACAAGCTTCAGCGTTTACGTGTCCGTTTCTCGCGTTTTCCAACCCTAATGCGAGAACATATAATTATATTACTTTCTTTTATCGTAGATATGAAGACATTGTTTAATTTTTTAATTAAAAATGTTTATATTAAAACGTGCTTTCACAAACTTTTCAATTTGGTCAGCCCCTTATTACTCAAGCAAATATTTTCGCGACCTTTGAATATGGATTCCATACTATCTTTTATTTCATTAACATAAACTTTACAAATATACTATGCGGGTAGTTTTGCTATAATGATTTTGAATTAATTTTCATTCGTTCCGCGTACAGAAATTGTTTATTTCTGCTTCAATTTCTGCAACTCCATTTGGGGTCGCCAGTCGCATTTTGAGAAAAGGCTTATTTTCAAATTAATTATTAATCAAATTATTTTTTTCAATTTGGCAAAAGAGCTCGTTTACGTATCATTTATTTAGCTTCTCTTTTTATTTCTTTTAGTGGGTATAAACATTTTTTGAAAATATTCTATTTGTAGATATTTATTTCGTTTGAATTATTATGAAAATGTTTGATAAAATTTATGTACCACGAGTCATAGTTTTATTATTCCACGTAAATTTCTTGGTCTTTTACATTTTACATTATACTGCTACGTATATAATTCATTTATAAAGAAAAGAGAAAGAGCCTGCGTGCTCACCCTACGGAAGAATTGTTCAAAAAATTATGAACAGCTCTGCAACGTAGTTTTTTTACGTACGCGTGTATGTTAATCATACGTATATTTAAACATAGAGTTTTGAGAAATTTAAATATGCTTTTTCAACACGTGGTCGTGCTAATTGTTCGTCATTTATTTCATTGGTTTCTGGATTATTTTGTAAACAAATAAATGTTATGCAATGACTTTTTCAATATTTATTTAAGAGCACATTGATGTTCCAAACGTTGCACATGTGGGCCGCAGGTTGTGTTTCATTGGATTAGAGAAACATTTGTAGATCGAACGAAAAAAAAACTAATGTCGATTGGTAGACGAGAGCGTGGAAGGGTGGTTTTGGATGTTTCGAATAGAGAGGAGGAGGAGGATAATCATCGGTAATAGAATCAAGTTGGCTCGCGTATTCTGATGTAGAAATGACCGTTACTGATTGCCAGACATTAACATCATTGTTCCATCGTTATTCCTGTAATGTACTTAGAGCACGAAAATGTACGGCCATTGGTTATAACAGCAGTGGCAGTAGTAACACCACCACTACTACCAACACCATAACCACTATTAAAGCAAGAGAACTCTCGGAGTCATGGTTGTTCGAGCGAGTAAACGTCGCTAGACTGTTACCAGCAGGATACATAACGACGATAAAAAATGAGCAGTTACATATATTAATGTAACATACAAATATGCATCCATGTACGTATGCATGTATGTGTAATGTGTGTGCACTTCTCATTAACATCATTCACTCGTTATTATCTCTCATTATGCTATATACGCGCAAATATACTTACCACCTGGAAAAAAAGGGGTAAGTATGGTTGAATTTTTATTTCTTTTTTTCCCCTGTTAATCAGATTATCGGTTCGCGTTTACGTAAATCGTGATTTTCTATATATGCGGGTAATATCGTAGAAAGAAAAAGAGAGTAAAGTATGTAAGTTAGAAAGTTGTAAAGAAGGCAATTAATTGTTACACTTTTGTTACGGTATTATCGACTGTTTTATAGTCACGTGTAACGAACGGCTCTCCGATTTTTCTATTTTTTCTTTTATATCGATATCTATGTGCGTGTGCGGCTGGTTTTGCAATAAAAAAAAAATAAAAGGAAAATACTGAGAGAGAAAAAAACAAATCATTTAATAATATTTCCTAAAGTTTGTTTCGTCGTAAGTAAACATCAAATAGGTATTTATGCGAAATTTGAAATATCAGACTAATCGTTGAATAAATATTTACTTAAGAGAGAGGGCGAATCTGAAAATTATTTGTAGGAACAATCACATTTTATGTTCGATCTACATAACATTTTATTGGTTGCCTACTGATTTATCAATATTTTTCCAAAAATTTTTAAATATACACACACACACATACATGTGTGCCTAGTCAAATATATACATAGCAACCTTTTCAAAATTTGCTCACAATTTTGAAGCAAACGCGCTGCCTCGTTCGTTCATTCGTTATTTTTAGAGATAAAAAAATACAAGTAAAGAAAAGATCAAATAAATGTAAAAAGAAATGAAATGCAAACATGTAATATTTCCAAGAGTTTTTCATATAACGTTCATGAATCGCTATAATAATTTGCGGAATAACACGAATGAAAAAAAACTTAATTTATGATTTTTTCTCGAAGAGTTTTCTGTGAACGTGCTATGGAACGTTGGTTATTATATACACATACGTGTATATGTTTAATAGAGAGTGTTTTTATATTTAATATGGCGTATTTTTTTCTAGATATAACTTATTTGGTTTTTACTTTATTTTAATCCATTCAAATCGGCACCATTTATTAATGCAATTTTTGAGAGTGGTAATGAATAATGCACATGTTTACACAGACACACGTATACATATGTATGTGTAATTGCGTTTAGATTTAACATATCTGAAATGTTTGTAATCCATTAAAAATTGATACGATGTAATAATACAATTTTTGAGAATTATAATGTATATCATACACACGCAGACACGCAAGCGCGCGCATAATTTTGTTCAGGTGTAATTTATTTCATTTGAACTTACTTTGAATTGTTTTAATCAAGTAAAATTGAAAAAAATCAATAATACGATTATTGAGAATGATAACACATAATAATAAAAATACTTAAACGTACCGACATTTGTGAGAGCTTCATGAGTAAAAGTCAAAGAGAAAAAGGTATGAAAGTATAAGGGATAATAAATGGTAGTTTCTTTTTCGTCAAGCACGCGAGGAGGTAGAAAACGCATTGCGTGTTGAGTTCGTGCGTGAAATCATCCAATAAGAATGCACGCCAACATCGATCTATATTCCACACACGTACGCACACACACGAATATTCACACATAGAGATGTTTATTGTGTAGAAAAAAAAGACGAGCCACTTTTCACTCTTTTTTTTTTTCTATGAATTAAGCATATTTTTTTTTATTATTTTCGTTTCTATTTTACACTCAACGAGGACTCTTTGTCGTTTGTCCTATTTAATCTCAAATGGAATATAAAAATAAAGATCCTTGTGCAAAAAAAG